GTATGAGGAGTCCATCCGGGTCGCAATTTTGGGCGGCCGTCGAATGTATGGGGAGTCTTTGAGGAGCCCGGTTATATATTATCTTAGTAGGGACATGCCACTTACTCCTACGGTCACTAGCTTGCTAATAGCTAGATTCTACCACACTTTCTTACTGTCAATACACCACTTTGAGAACACACTGGCTTTTTCTGAAAATTCAGTGCACTACTTAGGTCTTAGTCATTTGCTTCATGTATTTTATTTCTATGGCAAAGTTTTCATGATATCTAATGCATTTTGTTCCAAATATCTAATGCATTTTTGCTGGCTTTCATGATGGATGGATAACATTTATGTGTATACTATCCTGTCCTAAAGAGTGACCCTTTCTTGGAACAAAGATTCATCAGCTAGCCGGTGATTGGAATGCCCATGGTTTTGGGTTTTGGGGACCAGAGCATGTATGGATGTTTGTGTACGTAGTACATCCATGTGCAGCTGATCATAGTCAAATTCACAATCTTGTGCTCATTGGAATGTTGAAACTAACCAAGGTCATGTTCGATTGAGCTAAGTCCCCTGCCAATCTTTTTAATCCATTGTAACAACAGCTAAACCGAAGAAGCACTATGGGTGTGTTTGATAGGGTGCATAGACGGTGCATGAGGGTAAAAGTTTCCAATCCAACCCAATTTTACTTGTTTGGTAAGGTGCATGAGCTCACCTGAGCTATGCTCAACTGATGCAAAAAAGGGCCCTCGGTTATGCCCATCTCATGCACCCCAGAGAGGGTGCATGGAGGCAGCCATGCTGGCCCGACCCTAATCTCCACACCAGACCACGTCCAGATATGTTTAAGTTTTCAAAAATGTTATAATTTCAAATTTTGTTTAAAATTTATAAAAATATTCATAATTTCAAATTTGGTTTAAATTTTTAAAAAGTTGAGAATTTCAAAATCATTTAAATTTTCGATATTTTAAAAAATTACAAAATCATTTAAATTTTCAAAAAAATAGAATTTAAAATTTTAAAAATTAGAATTCCAAATTTCATTTAAATTTTCAAAAATGTTCAAAATTTCAAAACTTGTTTAATCTTAAAAAAGATTAGCATTTCGAATTTGGTTTAACAATTTTGAAAAAAATATAAAATTTCATTTATTTTAAATTTTTCAAAAAAGTTCAGACTTTCAAAATATGTTTAAATTTTCAAAAAATGTTCAAAATGTAAAATTTATTTAAATTTCTAGAAAAATGTTTAGAATTTCAAATTTTGTTTAAATTTTCAATAATATTTCAGAGTTTCAACATTTTTATAAATTTTTGTTTACGTTTTTTCAATTTTGTTCAACATAAAATATTCGGAATTCAAAATTGGTTAGCATGTCTAAATAGATGCAGGCTGCCAAACAAAGTCTTAGCTCAACATGTCTCAGCGCATACACCGCTGCGAAACAATAGCAAATGCATGGACTCAGCATGTCTACACTCAGCATGTATGAGACGAGAACAATTAGGCTAGGTCCATACATGTTACCAAACACACCCTATATGGCGCATGCATTAGGTAGGTGTGTGACACTTTTGACTCAAAATAAACCCAGGTATAGTACTGCATGCAGTAATGCTACATCTATGAAAGGTTACTTCAAATTTAAAGGAAAACTGATGTGGAGGATTATAGTTGGTAATAGGGGGATGAAGATCCCATCCCAGTTAAATTCAGGGGGATCCTAAAAAAACTTATATTCTAGGGGAAGAGAGTCGAAATTTGGGATGTTAAGTAAAATATTTGTAGATCTAGCAATATTGATACTGCATGCATACGTACACAGTACATGCATGCATGTCACGTGCAGCCGCAGTAGCTAGTGAGTCAAGGAAAAAATATCAGGTGATACCAGCCCTTACATGCTACCATGATACCAACTTCTAAAATTCAAATTTGAACATGTCAAAAAATTATGAAAAAAGACATGGATGTTAACAACACAGATGTTGATAACCCCTAAAAAATTCAGATCAAAATTCAACATACACAGAGAGAAACGAAAAAGACAAATTTACCACGAATAGTGTCAAAAGAAGACAAAAGAAAAAAATGACACTATTCACATCTGAATTTGTCTTTTTGTTTCTCTTTGTGTGTTTTGAATTTTGATCTGAATTTTTTAGGGGTTGTCGACATATGTGTTGTGAGCATCCATTATTTTTTTCAGAATTTTTTGACATATTTAAATTTGAATTTTAGAAGTTGGTATCATGAACAATATCTACCCTGAACAATATCTACCCATATGTCTAGTATCACCAATCCATAAACCTGGCATTCACATCATTTGTGTCAAGTAAAATGGTTAATCTATTATTATTATTAGTTCACAAAAAATTCTTTGTTGAATGAAACATATAGGGCAATTATTCTAGTTGCTTCCTGGCAACTATTGTTGTTGTGGAATGGCAACTTTCAGGGGTAAAAAACTAAAGAATGATTGTACACACACTCATTTACCATGATCTAGATGGCAATTATTTTGGATTTCTCCATGTGTACATCACACACATTGTTTTAACTTGCCATCATTAGAAAAACAAACAAATAACTTAAATTCATGCGAATCATCACAAACAATTTCTCACTTTGTCATCATGGATGGATACATTTTTCCTATTTTTTTCCCATGTGACCAGTGCAAGACATTTTCTTGTCATTTCCATTCTTGCATTTTTTTCCCATATTGCCATGATGTGTAGAACAATTAGTCTTTTTTATGGCAAGTGCTTGGATTTGTCCCAACATATCATGGCTAAGTATGAACATGCTTTACCCAAACCTTGGCAAACTTTAATTTTCCTTGATCGCAAGACAACTGAATTTATTTATTTTTGGCATGTCTCCAATTTTTGCCATGGAAAATTTAGTTTTTTCAAGAAATCTGATGGTCAAATTAATATAACTTGATGACAAATTTGTGTAAGAAAATATGGCAAACACTTTTCTTCAAAGTAGCATGGCAAAAAATTTAGTAGTCTATAATTGCAATGTTTTTTCTTTGCAACATGGCAAAAAAAAACCTATGTAGGGCACCATAGCAATTTAAGTTCATCGAGCATGGAAAATGTAGCTTATGGATCATGGAAATTTTATTTCTTTGCAACATGGGGAAAATATGTTTTATGAGGCCATGGAAATTTAAGTTCATGGAGCATGGATAATGTACTTTATGGATCATGGCAATTTTCTTTCTCTGCAACATGGTAAAAAAATTATTTACGGCACAATGGAAATTTATGTTCATGGAGCATGGAATTATGGATTGCAATTTTCTTTATTTGCAACAAGGAAAATAAATACTGTTAATTGGATCATGGCAATTTAAGTTCATGGAGCATGGTAACTGTAGTTGATGGATCATGCCAAATTTTCTTTCTTCGCAACATGGAAGAAGCTACTTTTTATGTGGCCATGACAATTTCAGTTTATGGAGAATGGTGAATGTAGTTTATGGATCATGGAAATTTTACTGTATGGACAATAGCAAATTTCTTTCTTTTTCCAACATGGCAAAATTGCTATTCTTTGCGACGTTGTCAAATTTAGTCTATGTATTGTCGCAAGTTAAGTGTATGGATCATGGCAAACTTAGTTTATGGATCATGATTTATAGAACATTTTCCATGGCAAACGCTTTGAACTCCGAATCTTTTCTTGGTTAATACAATGGTAATATTTCCTGTTTATGTTTTTTCTCTGAATTTTACCTTAGCAAATTTATTTTATATTCTACGGAAAATTCATCGACCATACCACGGAATTTTTTTAATTGTGTTATGGCAATTTCACAATGCTTTTGTTTTATGGTTGCATTTAAGAAAAATGTACATAAATATGTGTATTTGAAAGATGGCAAACTTAAGAAAAAAATTGATCTATTGATATGGCTTTAAAAAAGTTATATACTTGTGCAATGGCCAACATTGTAGGAAAACATTTTGTTCTATTCTACATTTCCATTTTTTGTTTGTCATAATATCGTGGCAATTAAATAATTTTTTAACTTCTATTTTTGCTATATTAAATTGGCAAACTCATGATATATGTCCAGGGAAAAAATGGTTTAGATGCCAAGCGTTATTCTTTATGTTTCATCTTTTTGACATTCAATATTTTTGGGGCTGTGCTTTTCTTTTTGGCAAAAAGAATTGCGCTGGGGAAAGACAGCAAAGCAAGTGGCTTATCGGGCCTTGCATCGCACTGGATGGTTGCCCCAGTGAACGAAAATGTTCGATGTATAAACATCCCAAATCGAATTATTTGTTCTCTGCGGCTTAATCCCAGATCGGACGTCAATTCCATATTGTATATGTGCCAGAGTATACATTATTATAAATAATATCCATGATATCCATACTGTTTGTAGTCTTTTATGCATTTTTTTAAGATATGTGATGCGTATTTTAGTCAAAAAAGGGGTGCCTCGAATCCCTTTCGCCGATCCACTTTACCACAACAAATGAATTGGCACCGCAAGTTTTCGTCTTCTTTGGGAGAAAAGCACAGGTCAAAAGAAGTAAAGCGTGTCTCATCTTTTCACACGCGCGCGCGCGCGCGCGCACACACACACACATGGTTGGTCTCTTGGAAAGCAGACGTTTTGCTGATATTTCTACAGTTGATCACTAGTAGTATTTCCAGTGCTTTGCTTAATTTCCACGAATCAACGTAGTACTGGTACTAAACCAAAAGGAGCCACGCGTGCAGGAGGAAACACCCCAAAGTGGCATGCACGAGCTGTATCGCCGCCCGCCACTACCCGGTGGGTCCCGGCGTTACCTGTCCGCCGGCCGGCTCTCCCCTCCACCACCATGGTCACTTCCATGACCGGATGACCTCCGGCTATAAAAATCAACGCAGAGCAGAGCATCGCAGACACGCACGCTCAGAGTCAAAGATAAGCCAGACACAGAGTCGAGAGCTGACACACCATAGATAGCTAGACACAGAGAAGCCACACCATGCGTGCTCCGGCGAGCCTCCTGCACCGCGCCGCCCTCGCCAACACTGGCACGGGCGAGCCGTCGTCGTCGCCGGCGAGTATGAAGGCCCCTGAGCAGCAGCAGCAGACGGCGCCTGTGATGGCGGTGAACTCGGACATGGTGCTCATCCTAGCGTCGTTGCTATGTGCGCTCGTCTGCGTCCTCGGCCTCGCCCTCGTCTCCCGATGCACGTGCCGACGGCGCCGCTCGGCCTCATACTCCGATCACGCCCCTCCTCCACCAAAGGGCCTCAAGAAGAAGGCCATCCACGCCCTCCCAACCGTCTCCTTCGCCGCCAACGGGGCTTCTCCGACGCCGGCGACATGCTCGTCGTCAGAGTGTGCGATCTGCCTGGCGGAGTTCACGGAGGGGGAGGCCCTGCGCGTGCTCCCACGGTGCGGCCACGGCTTCCATGTTGCATGCGTCGACGCCTGGCTCCGGACCTGTGCCACATGCCCCTTCTGCCGTGCCCCCATCCTTGCCACGCCCACGCAGCCGCCGGCGACGACCACGGTGGTGGTCGTGGTGGCGACAAACAACAGGTGCGGGAGGTGCGGCGAGCTGGCGGCGCCGACCGGTGGTGGCGATGACACGTTTTTACCTTAGTTTGTAATTAATCTGGTTTGTAGTATTGTTCTTGTGCCCTTTCTCTCTCTCTCTCTCTCTCTCTCTCTCTCTGCTTTTTGGCTAGGTCGCGTTGTACATTCAATTTGTCTTGACAGGTTGATTTGGTAAAGTAAAACTTGTATTACTTCAGATTTTTCATTTAGTTCGGCTCTATTGCTGGCTTGCTGCACTCGACCCACCAAAACATAAATTGTATGCTCTGCTAGTGCTTGTGCAAAATTAGTCCGTGTATTTCTCTACCTTTAGCGATATCCACCTCTTGTCCACTTCTTCTTCTCCAATCTTGAACAAATAACTGAGCATCTCGATTAATCAAAGAAAACTTCAATTTCATTTAGACTCTATGAATATTTGGAGGATGGAATCTATTGCCTTTTAGTCAATAAAACTTTTAGTCTCAATCAGAATCGATTCGCCATTCATTGCGGCACACCATGATAGCAACTTGACTGATGGAGATCACTCGAAGGAAAACCAAAGTGGAAGGATAGCACATCCTCGGTCTAGCTCGATTGCCGTAGAGTTTGATGGCTGATGTGGACGTGATGTCTAGCTGAGATGCATTTATTTAGTTGATAATAGCCAGGGATTACGAAATCATGACACCTGTTGCAGCTTTATCGTTTGATCTACAACTTCTGCCGCAGGATGGTTAATTTTTCTCTACAAAAAGAGGGAATCTCTTTCGATTAATTGATGCATGCACCCTCTTTTTTTGGCGAATATGCATCCTATTTTATTACTCCCTCTGTTCATAATTCATGTCGTGGTTTAGTTCAAATTTGAAACATAGGGAGTATAAGGTAACAGTTGTCAGAAAAGAAAAGAAAAAAGAGACTACATGTACTAACATTTATGCAAGGCAAACATATGTTTGTCGAGTTATTGTTTCGCCGCATCTGGTTGGGGAAGAAGACTTAAAGCATAAAATCAAAACAGGAAAACCACTGACAAAGACAAACTTGACATCAGTTGTTCAAGATAAAACATCAAATGATGATAGCCCCCCCCCCCCACCCCCACCCCGTCTGCAATGATCTAACATATAATTAACACCAATATTAGCTATGGCCCCTCCATCTCTCGACTGTAGAAACAATACACACGAACACAAATAGAATGAACTATCGGAACATTCCGTCGACAGCTAGGGTTTCAATTAAATTTCAAAGAGAAATCATTCATTACATGGACATACATTGTAAACCAGGTCCTTGCATGATTGGTACAGCTGCGCACTAGAGGAAATTGTGGAACGATTGGCATATATGTGGAGGAACATGAACAGAGGAACTTTTCGGCAAAGGTGCCTAGCCAGGTAGCATTGCGGATAAGATCATCATCGTATATTTGAAGATAGGCACATCATACAGACACATATTCTGCATCTCATATCTAAATAGTATCTCTGCTCCAGGGGCGAACCCACGTTAAGGTGAGTGGGGGCCTGGGCCCCCACTGAAAATATGAAATTTCAGTAAGATTTGCTTGTGTTTCTCAAAAACTATGCTTAATTTCCTTGAATTTGTAGAGAATATGCCACCACTCCAAATACTTTCTAGGTCCGCCACTGATTGTGATGATGGATGGCCTTTTATCATGTGTACCATCTTCTCTCAAAGATCCACCTTTCCTCCGGCCAAAGATTCATTGGCTAGCTGGTGACCGAAATGTACATGGTTTTTGGTGTTGGGGACCAGAGCATTTGTGTATGTGTGGTGCATGTGCAGCGGGTCATGGTCAAGTTAACAATCAGATGGCGCAGCTTTTATTTGTGATCACCGGGGTTTTTAACACCAAATGGTTCGGCAAGATTGACGACTCGGTTGCTAATTAATCAAAGCACATACTTGTGATGCAGAGGTCGGGGGTGCTACGCATCATGTATCAAACCAATGGAGTAGTATTTTGCATGCAAAGATTAACCCTAACTAAAAGAGACCGTGACGACTTGGTTCAAAAGCTCATATCCTGCGCCGAAAATGGCGACTCGGCAGGGTGCATCACAGAACAAGGACAAAGTCGAGCGTGTTTTCCTTGATAAGACAAAGTGTTTTCACTCATTAATATACTATATATCGGTCTCTCCTTTAATATAAATATGATCAGATTTTAAAATATATAAATCATACTATTCATTCGACATCCTAACTCATTTTCTATGATCCCCATGCAGTAAAATATATGTAATCTTTGATCGGTAGTGTGAGCCGCACTTACCCCAGATGGCATGGATCTTATATATCTTTGTGATCATATAGTATATATGTTCGTGGTACATCATCTCCCAGAGGCAATAGGTTGGCACACTTTGATCGTTTAGCCTCATTTCGTGGTGAAGAGAGATAGCTGGGTCCTTAGCACTTCACTTTCACTTTTGAAACAAAGCATAATTTGAAAGGAGATTAAAAGCCTGTGCCCACTCTAATATATCACATATGCATTGGTTTTTGTTTTTGAAACGGAGGCAAAAGACTTGCCTCATATATTAATTAAGAGGAGAATAGAGTTTGTTGAAGATACAACACCCCAATGTACAAAAAAATTACTCTCGCGGCAGGATTGAACCCAATTTTTTTGCACCGGCGGCCACCCATAGAGCCGCGTCTTTCTTGATATTCTGGAGTATGACGGTTGGTGGCATGCACTTGTGGTGGAAGACGTGAGCATTCCGCTCGTTCCAAATGGCCCATTAGATTAGCGTTGCAAGCGAGGCTATGGCCCTTCTGTTAGGAACAACAGTGTTAGAGAAGCCAATCCACCATTCCTTCGTGGATCGTAGTTGTAGCCATGTGGAAGTATGAAGGTGTTCCAGTTGCAGCCAAGCCTTGACCATGCCGTAGAGCCTAAGTGTGAACCTCCACTGGAATATAAGATGATCCACTGATTCCTGCACTTGTTTGCAGAGAGGGCATAGCCCACAGTTTGGCCACCCCCTCTTAACCAATCTATCCGCAGTCCACACTCGATTTTGCATTGCCAACTAAGCAAAGAATTTGACCTTAGGCGGTGCCCAAACCTTCCAAACCGTGCATAGCATTGGGGACCTTGTCAAACCCAGGAAATGAGCCATATAGGCAGAACTCGCCGAGTAAAGGCCATTGGTGGTGTGTTTCCAGGTGATGTCGCCCTCCATGTCTTCATGAAGCTGGAAGTCACGGAGAGTGGCCCAAAGCTCCAGAAACTCCGTGAAGTGTGTGATGGTGAAGTTGGCTGTCATGTTGATTCTAGATATCCAATCATCATCCTTCAAAGCCTCTCTAATTTTCCAATTTCTCCGCTTGGATGCCTTGAAAATTAGCGGTGCAATGTCTTTGGGCTTCCGACCCATCACTCAAGGGCTTCCCAAAAGGGTGTGCGAGCACCGTTTCAAACTGTAATGGTTGTGGAGGCATAGAAGAAGCTATGATCAGCTTTGTCGCATGGGTTTCCCAACCCCATCCATAGTTTCGCCGGCTCCTTCCACCGAAGCCATAACCATCGCAACCTGAGTGCCCTTGCAAACTTGTTCGTGTTGAGCACACCAAACCCACCATATACGAGTGGGCGGTAGACAGTGTCCCAGTTCACCTTACATTTGGCGCCCGTTA